TTATTTTTTAATTGATCCCTATCCCTAGGGTTTTCGGGTTTAGGGTTTTAGGGTTTAGGGTTTAGGGTTGACTTGGGTTTAGGGTTTATAGGGTTTAGGGTTGACTTGGGCTTCTGCTCACCGCCCGACATGAAATAGGGTGTGTTCCGAATTTGCGCCTTCAGCGCCTCAAAACCCAAACCATATAAGCTTACCAAAATCCCAAAGGGTCCAAGTATCAATATGGTAGCTACTTGAGGTATTTGGGCCACAAAAAATATATACGATACTATAACTTGGACCCTTTGGGAAGGTGTGGAACCCTAAACCCTAAATCCTAAACCCTAAAACCCTAAACCCTAAACCCTAAACCCTAAACCCTAAAACCCTTAGGGGGACTCAGCATTTCAGCTATAAGATGCGTTATGGGCACCCGAGAGAGACTCCCAGGCTGCGGTTGGTGGGTCCAGGGATTTAGGGCTTGTTGGGCCCGGTTTAGGGTTTGCGGTTTAGGGTTTAGGGTTTAGGGTTTAGGGTTTAGGGTTTAGGGTAGAATGTACATCTCTGAGGCCTGCAGACCTCTTCTTGAGGAATACTGGCTCCAATTATACGGCTTAGGCTTCCCATCAGCCTCCCAGCGCTAGGGAGTCTGTCTGCAGCCTCCAGCGACCGTCCCGGTGGAATGTCGATCATCTGCTCACCACGGACCTGTCGCTAATATAACCCCTATAAACCCTAAACCCCTAAACCTTGAGGTCAAAGGGCATAGGGCTTTGGAGGTTTTGGCTTAAGGCTGACGGCTTGCAAGACTTGGGCACGCTTGGGCGTTTAAGGTTTGGGGTGTAAGGCTTAGGGTTTAGGGTTTAGGGTTTAGGGTTGGGTCTTGGAGGCTTTATGGCATCTTACGTTGCAGGCTCAAGGACTTAAGCACCGTGTTTTTTTGGGTGGAAGGGGTTGAAGCGTTTATATGCGGGCCTTGATAAATAGAATAGGGTTTTGGGGTATGTTCTACTGTAATCACAATAAGGAACCACCAAAAGAAATATAGGTAATTGTTTAGGCCCCTATATCAACACCTTTTATCAAACCTGTGACAAGGCCCGTTTACAAACCCTACTATAGTAGACCCTAAACCCTAAACCCTAAACCCCGAAACCCTAAACCTCGAAACCCTGAACCTCTAAACCCAAAACCCTAAACCTCGAAACCCGGAACCCTAAACCTCTAAACCCGAAACTCTCAACCTCTCAACCCGAAACCCTGAACCTCTAAACCCTAAACCCTGAACCCTAAACCCCGAAACCCGCAACCCTAAACCCCGAAACCCAAAACCCCTAAACCTCTAAACCCTATAGTAGAAGCCCAAAACCTGGAAGACCGATAGCCTCACTCCGTGATCCGTGAGAGTAATGTACAGGGAAGGGTTTAGGGTTTTCAAAGTTTTGGGCTTCTACTATAGGGTTTAGGGATTTAGGGAATTAGGGATTTAGGGGTTTAGGGTTTAGGGTTTAGGTTTAGGGGTTTAGGGTTTAGGGAATCCCAGCACGATGTGTCCGTAATCCGGTTTCCCCAACTTTTCGGGGTTTACGATAAACCCGGTCAAGGACCCCCAGCTTCAGAAACTCCCCTGAACCCTAAACCTTGAACCCCTAAACCCTGAACCCTAAACCCTGAACCCTAAACCCTGAACCCTAAACCCTGAACCCTAAACCCTGAACCCTAAACCCTGAACCCTAAACCCTAAATCCTGAACCCTAAACACCGAACCCCTAAACCCGAAACCCTAGACCCTGAACCTCGAAACTCCTGCACACGCTACCCCAAACCCCTAAACCCCAGCCCCAAATATCATACAGCACGACACTCCAACTGAGGAATTGCATCTTGATAATGGCACCATGTACTATAGATGTTGCAGAAATCGTGTTACCAAAGAACTGAATACTGATAGAGGCTTCTATGTTAAGCATAAAGAGCCCTAGGCCCTGAACCCTACGAACCCTAAACCCTCAACCCTAAAAACCCTAAGCCCTTAACCCTAAAACCGTAAGGGTTAAAGTTTAAATCTCTTCAACAGTAGCCGTATAGTGCCTTATAGTACCCCTTGTAGAACCCCTTATCGAACCGCTTGGCGCAACCGTTAAAAGAATTACTACAGAAAACCACCCCTAAAGGAACCTCTAAAACACATGGGGGTTTCCGAAAATAAGGGACTCTAATACAGTACTCCAAATACTAGGATCCTTCTTATAAGGACCTCAAAATAAGGGACCCCTTGTTTTCGGAAACTCCCACATCCTTCCGGGCTCCGTTATGGGTTCCTTTCACGGTTCCTCTGTTAAGGGGTCCTGTGAGGCCCCCTTTAAAGGAACAAACCCTGAACGCTAAATCCCTAAACCCTAAACCTTAAACCAAATACCCTAAACCCTAAACCTCTAAAACTCCCTATACCCTAAACCCCAAAACCCTAAAAATCTCAACCCTAAGAATCCCTAAACCCCTAAAAACTCCCTGAACCCTAAACCCTGAACCCCTAAAAATCCCTATACGCTAACCCACAAAATCCCTATCCCCTAAACCCCTAAAAATCCCTATACCCTAGACCCTAAACCCCTAAAAACTCCCTAAACCTTGAGGGAAGCGGCCACGAAGTGCTTCCAGCGCAGGCGGCTCAGGGCCTACTGCCAGGGCTGGGTGTTTCGGGTTTAGGGCTCCTAGGGTTTAGAGTTTAGGGATTAGGCCCAGGATTAGGGTTTGGTGTATAGGGTTTTGAGCGCTGAGGGATCGGTTTAGGGTTTAGGGTTTGGTGTGTAGGGTTTAGGATTTCGAAGAATGCGCTGAGGGATCGGTTTAGGGTTTAGGCTTTAGGGGTTTGGGTTTTGGGTTTGGTGTGTAGGGTTTAGGGTTTTGAAGAATGCGCTGAGGGATCGGTTTAGGGTTTAGGGGTTCGGGGTTTGGGTTTTGGGTTTGGTGTGTAGGGTTTAGGGTTTTGAAGAATGCGCTGAGGGATCGGTTTAGGGTTTAGGGGTTAGGGTGTAGGGTTGCAGGTTTAGGGCTTCTTTTGAAGAATGCGCTGAGGGATCGGTTTAGGGTTTAGGGTTTGGGGATCTATAGAGCTGATTTGGAGGTTTAGGGGACGTAGCAACTTGGGATACACGTATTGTACCTTGATTAGGGGGGTATAAGTAGATAAAATCTATAGTTGCCCTACTGATAACCCGACTTACCCTACTTGTTACGTCCCTGATCCTCTAAGTAGAGCTCCCTAAACGCTAAACCCTACTTGGCTGACTTCCGAACCCCTCCTAAAAGCTAGGCTACTATAAGCTTATATAGAAACCCCAAAAGTTAAAGTCCTAAGAGCCAACCAGAAGAACGCCAAGTCTAAGTAGAGCTCGCTAAACCCTAAACCCTAAACTACCCTAAGCTAATTAGGGATCTCTAGGTTTTAGGGTTTAGGGCCTTGGGTGTGGGGGGTCCGTTACGGGATCCTTAATGGCTCCTTTACGGGTTGCTTTCAGGGCTCCCTTAAAAGGATCCTTTTAAGGGGTCCTTTTGAACGGACCTGCAGGGTTCAGTCAGGGTTTAGGGCTAGGGGTGTGGGGTTCCCTTTAAGGAAATCCCGCGCTTACAGTTTAGAGTGTTGGGCTTAGGGCTCCCTGAAGGAATGAGGGATTTCTTAGTTGCGGAGTACAAAAGGTCCCAAAGACTCTGGCCCGCCAACCGTGAGGCGAAAACTGAACAAAGCTTCGATGAAGTCATCTGCCTCTGATGAATAGTCGAGCACCACCGTCCTCTGTCATCACCTGGACGCTCGCTTCGAACACGTCATAGAGGAAGCTTGTGAGCCTCTCCCTAGTGAAACAAGGGACACCTGTCACCAGGGTTGCCAGCTGGCGGCTGTACGAGAGCCTGCATGTACTGCATCAAGTCCAGTGCGCCTTTTGGGTCTGCCCGAACCACTGAAGTGGTTGACCCAAAACAGAAACAGGAACTACATGTATATCTCATGAAGGTTTCAGAACCCTGAATCACAAAACCTAGACCCTAATTGGCTGAACAAACATTGGAACCACCATGAACATTGAAAATTACTACGAGACTCCAAAAACCTTACTAATGAAGCAACATCCTTTAAACTATTCTCAATACGAACTTCAAGGTGTCTCCCTTCATGGGGGGCTTTTGCAGTTTGCCCCCAAACCCTCAAAACTAAACCTCTAATATCTAATTTGAAGACTTCCGGCATACTACAGTCCGCAATAGTTGCACTGGGACCATACTAAGGGGATACTTTTGTCAGCTGTCCTGACATCTTGATTCGCAAGTGTTGGGTTTAAAGTACTTCAGGCTGCAGGGGTGAGGGTTCAGGTTTGGTTTGACAAACCCTGGAATCTCAACTCTAAACCGGAGTTGTTTGGTGCTTAGCTGGTTTAAGCACGGTTTAGGCCTCCACGTAAGCTGCAACGTTGCGCTCACTGCCTGCAGCACAGCGTAGGCTTTAGCACTTTGGGGGGAGGTTGCGGGCTTCGATCTGGAAATTTGGAGTTCTTGGAAGTTTGGAAGTGTTGGAGGCGCGTGAGGTTTCTGACTGTTCTCTTGATGGTCTCTTGGTGGTCTCCTGTCTCGGTCGTCTTGGTCCTCGCGGTTGTCGTGGTCGTTGTCATCGTCATGGTCGTGATGGTTGTCGTGGTCGCGGTGGTGCTCTATCACTGCTGGCGGATTTACGCTGGCATAATGCGCAGTCGAGATTTTTCAGGAACCCCATCATCGGAACCCCCAATCACACACACCCCAACACCCAGATACACTCACCGGAAGCCCTAAACCCTAAACCCTAAAACCCGAAACCCTACACTTTAAACCACTCAGAAAAACCCTATAATAAAGCTTGTGGAGATCTGGGGGCTGCAGCCTGCAGAATACTTCCTCTGCTCCCTAGCGCATGCTCCTAAACCCTAGAAGCCCCAAAACCGATATTTAGGGTTTAGGGTTTAAGGTTCAGGGTTTAGGGTATAGGGTTTAGGGTTCAGGGTTTAGGGTATAGGGTTTAGTCTTTAAGGTATAGGGTTTTAGGATTTAGGGTTTAGGGTAGAGGGTTCACCAGAACCTATTTTTTGTAGGATCCCTTGAATCCCAGATTAGGGTTCATTATAAGAACCTACAAAAAAGTAGGCTTTGGTAGGTTATCCCTAAGCGCCAGCCCCGAAACCTAGCACCTCAAGCCTGGCACCTGCACCGAAAAGGCCCCACAGCCCTCGTTAGGGTTAAGGGTTTAGGGTTTGGGTTTTGGGTTTGGGGTTTAGGGTTTAGGGTTTAGGGTTTCGGGAGGCCTTCGACAATGATGATGCCCGGCCACCCGATTTTGGCCAAACCACCCAAGCGCAACTGCTCTGCCCAGTGTTTGATGGCCTGCCAGGGGAGAGGCGCCCGGACTTCCGGGTTTCATACTTTAGGGTTTAGGGTTTAGGGTTACGTAATAGAATTTAGGGTATACAGTCCAAAGAAAGATATTGTTGGGACCGTATAATACTCAGCATCGGGTTTTGGGCGGTTTTGGTGCTTCACATAGCAGAACTCCTATCAGGAGCCCTAAGGAATTGTAAGGATAATTACTCAGGCCCTCATGATGCGCGAGTCGGACTGAAGAAGCAACTCCAAAATCTCGCGACGGGCTCTGAAATGCTTCTTATCCGCAAGCTCTGAGGACACTCTAAGAATCCTTAGGATTAGGGTTTAGGGTTTAAGGTTTAGGGGCTTAGGGTTTAGGGTATTAGGGGTTTAGGGTTAGAAGATGAGTTGGGTCAAGTGATCCTAAACCTAAGCCATCAGACGCAAACTGCACTTCCTCCCTGCTTAGTTCAGGGTTCAGGGTCTAGGTTTTGAGTCCCCCCTGAGCCTTGAAGCAGTGCTGGGCAGGGTTTCGGGTTGTGTGGCTTCGGCTAGTTTCGGTTTAGGGTAGGGCTTAGGGCTTAGGACCTAGGGTTTAACCCCCCCAAACCCTAAACCCTAAACCCTAAAGGCTAAACCCCTAAACCGCTAAACCCCAAAACCCTAAACCCTAAACCCTTAACCCCGAAACGAAGGAAGACGTCTGAGCCCCAGCCTCTTGAAACTGCAACGCTCGGGGCTTTGGTGCTTACCCTAACCACCAGGAACCTACTCTCTTGTAGGGCCCCTATATAAACACCACAATAAAGGCTTGTAATAATAGGAACCTACAAACAAGTGGGTATTGGCAGGTTAAGGTACGGTTTAGGGTCCACTGCAAAGGTTTGGGAGTCTATGGTTCTGGCCTTCTTTCTGAGGCTTGGTTGGGCTAGGATCTGCAGTAACCTAGGAACAAAGAGGGCTCCCTGTTTTGGCATTGGGAAGTTGTACAAGGAACCTAAGACTACAAACATGGAACAAGTTGCCCACCAGGAGATTAGTGGATCAAAAAGAGACTGAATGACTGCCCTCTCTCTAAAGGGTTTGGGTTTGGTAAACCCACCCTTGCAGTAGCAGGTGCCACAAGGGACTCTTGTAGGTATACCGGGGTCTAGTATCGTATCCATCTTGTTTGAAGGTTTGATAAACTCCATATCAGGTCGTATGTTCAGACCCTACCGAGAGGTAGTGTTAGATATGGTCCTTCAACGGACCAAAGCATGCGGAGGCAGTATACGCGAACGCAGCAGGGTGAATTGAAGTTGTTGTTGGTGACACCCAAGAAGGCCATCACTCTGTTCACTTCCAGTCTGGTCCAGCCGATCATCTGGAACATTCGTGTGCTGTATCCATACGGCTTTCTGCCCATGATGCCATCGCCAGAGATTGCTTTTTTCTATAGAGGTCGATGTGCATCTTTTTCTTGCCTGTCAAGATGAAGCACCGGGCAAAAGATTCGACTTGTTTCCGCAGTTCTTAGTCCAGGTGCCAGATGTTGGGATCGAAGAAGCTGTGGTTGTGCTTGTACATCTCCGACAGTCCAAGCATTCACTTCTAAGCCGCGTGGCTTCGGCTAGGTAGGGTTTAGGGTAGGGTTTAGGGCTTAGGACTTAGGGTTTAACCCCCCGCACCCTAAACCCTAAACCCTAAACCCCTAAACCCCTAACCCTTAAACCGTAAACCCTAAACCCCTAAACCCCTAAACGAAGGAAGACGTCTGAGCCCCAGCCTCTTGAAACTGCAACGCTCGGGGCTTTGGTGCTTACCCTAACCACCAGGAACCTACTTTTTTGTAGGGCCCCTATATAAAACCCTATAATTAGGGCTTGTGATAATAAGAACCTACAAACAAGTGGGTTTTGGCAGGTTAAGGGTTAAGGTAGGGTCTAGGGTCCACTGCAGGGGTTTGGGAGTCTACAGTTCCGGCCGTCTTTCTGAGGCTTGGTTGGGCTAGGATCTGCAGTAACCTAGGAACAAAGAGGGCTCCCTGTTTTGGCATTGGGAAGTTGTACGAGGAACCTAAGACTACAAACATGGAGCAAATTGCCCACCAGGAGACTAGTGGATCAAAAAGAGACTGAATGACTGCCCTCTCTCTAAAGGGTTTGGGTTTGGTAAACCCACCCTTGCAGTAGCAGGTGCCACAAGGGACTCTTGTAGGTATACCGGGGTCTAGTATCGTATCCATCTTGTTTGAAGGTTTGATAAACTCCATATCAGGTCGTATGTTCAGACCCTACCGAGAGGTAGTGTTAGATATGGTCCTTCAACGGACCAAAGCATGCGGAGGCAGTATACGCGAACGCAGCAGGGTCTATGTAAAGCTGTGTTAAACCCTTAACACTAAACCCTGGAAAGCCTCAGGCTCAATGCGTATGCCCCCGACTCAGGTTTAGGGTTTAGGGTTTACGGGAATCTATAAAGACCGCTCCAAAAGCCCATTTGCGCCCATTCAAAACCTGTTTAATCCGTGAGTCAACCCCTTCAAACGTCTTTCCACACCAGCAAAATGCCCAGGAGTCCCTAAACCCTGCCATTCAGCATACCCAGGGGGGTCCTGACAGCCTATCTAATGGAAAGGAGGGTTTATGGTTTAGGGTTTGTATCGGTTTGGGTAAGTATCCCTCGTATAAGTACTTCGGACCCTGTTGGAAAGGACGACCACCAGCGCCCCGTCCTGCCGCTTGGATGGCGCGATGATGTGATGCGAAAACATCGCCCGCCGGCCCAGCTTTTGCTCCTGCGTGGGTTCCTAAACCCTAAACCCTAGACCCTAATTGGGATTCGGGGTTTAGGGTTTATAGGGTTTCGGGATTTTGGGTGCGCGGTTTAGGGGGTCGGTAGTATAGGGGTACTTCAGAGATAGCGTTCAGTGTTTAGGAGTTCGGTGTCTTAGGATTTCGGGGGCTTAGGTTTAGGGTGTGTCTTTGTGCGGCTTAGGGTTTGGGATTCCGGATTTCGGGCTCATAGAGTGTAGTGTCGAGGGTTTTGGGCTTTCGTTTCTGGTTTAGTATGTTTCCGGTACAAGGGCTTTCGTTTCTAATTTAGTATGTTTCCGGTACAAGAAGCTCGATTATACTTCGTCTACCAATGAAGGTGCACATCATTGCTTGGATTCTTTCTCTAGGTCCGATCTCCAAAGAACCCGACGAGGACGCAAGTCACCCTATCACTCGCGAGAGTCCTCAAGGACAGAAGGAGGGCTCAGCGTGAAGGCTGTGGCGACTATGAACTCACTATCGCCCCACTGGTCAACGTTTCTGCGAGTTTCACTAGGGTCGTACCATCTGACGTTTTGGGAGTATAGGATTTAGGGTATGGGGCGCGGCGTTTAGGATGCTATGGTGCAGGGTTTAGGGGGAGCTCAAGACCCAACAGCTGACGGACGAGACTGCGATTCGAAGGCTCCGGGTGTTTTTGGCGTCACGCTTCACGATTTAGTGTCTGTGGCTTCACGTTTATTGTCGAGGGGTTTGGGTGCAAAGTGCAAAACCGACGAAATCCAAAATTAAAACCCGATTCCAACTCAACCTACACGTCCAGTCCTAAACTATCGGTCTAAACGAAGGACAACACCCTCCAACCGTAAACCTTGAACCCTCCTCCATTGGCGTCATTGCCATCTGCGCCTCTGCCAGCTCCTGTTGGCAAGACCCTACACCCTAAACCCAAAAAACTCTAAACC